GATCCCCAGGACCTCCCACATTCCCGTGTCATTGGGACACCCAGACGCCTTCATCCCTGGGACACCCCCATCCCCTGTCCCCCCCCCATCCCCCGCTTTCCCCATCCCCGGCATCCCCCATCCTCATGACACCGCCATCCCTGGGAGCGGGACCCCCCCATGCGGGTTCCCCCTCGCTGACCCCCGCTGCAGCCGGGCCACGCTGCTGGTGCGGCTGTGCTCGTCGGGGCAGGCGGAGCTGCGGTACCAGCCCGGGGACCACCTCGGCGTGTTCCCGGCCAACCGGGACGAGCTGGTCCAGGGGCTGCTGGCACGCGTGCAGGACCCCCCGCCAGCCGAGCAGCCCGTGAGCGTGGAGAGTCGGGAGGGGGACCCCAGCGGTACGGGACCGGGCAGGATGGGGAAAGGGAAGGGGGGAGGGAAGGGGATGGCAAGAAGGGGAAAGGGAAAAGGAAAGTGTAGGAAAAGGGAAAGGGAAAAGAGACGGGGCTGGGGAAGGGGTTGGGAAGAGTGAAGTGGAAGGGTCTGGGGAAAAGGGAAATGGAAGAGTACAGGGAAAGGAAAACGGAAGGAGAAAGGGGAAGAGAAGAGGCGGGGGCAGGGGAAGAGGAAGGAGCAGGATCTGAGGAAGGGGAAAGGGAGAGGGAAAAGGAAAAGGAAAGAGAAAGGGGGAAAGGGAGAGGGAAAAGGAAAAGGAAAAGGAAAGGGAAAGAGAAAGGGGGAAAGGGAAAGGGAAGAGGGGAAATGGAAGGGAAGGGCCTGGGAAGAGAAAGGAGCAGGAACTGGAAGAAGGAAAGGGATAGGGAAGAGGAGGGGACAGGGAGAGGGAAGATGAAGGGGAATGGGAAAGGAAAAGAGAAGGGGAATGGGCTGGGAAAGGAGCAGGAGCTGGGGAAGGGGAAGAGAGAATGGGAGAAAGAAGAGGCTGTGAAAAGGGAAAGGGGCTGGTAAAAGAGAAGGGGAATGGGAAGGGGGAAAGAAGGAGAGAAGCATCCTCATGCCCCCCCCCAATGGCTTGCTCATGCCATCCCTGCCCATCCCGCAGGTGGGTGTCCCCCTCCCTGGGTGCCGCAGAGCCGCCTGCCCCCCTGCACCCTGGCGCAGGCGCTCACCTTCTTCCTGGACGTGGCGGCCCCGCCGAGCCCCCAGTTCCTGCAGCTCCTGGCCTCGCTGGCACGGGAGCCCGGCGACCGGCAGCGCCTGCAGCAGCTCGGCCAGGTGCGGGCTGGGGGCGCTGGGGGGCTTGGTCCCTGCTGATTGGGGTGCTGGGGCCCTCCGTGGATAGGGTATTGGGATGCTGCCCCACTCCCTGGCTGGTACGGGGATATCGGGATGGTGCTATCCCGCCTGACTGGGATATTGGGATACTGGGGTGCTGGGTACCTCCCTGGCTGGAGACTGGGATATTGGGATGCTGGCTTCCTCCCTGGCTGGGATACTGAGATGCTGACCCCTCCCTGATCAGGATACTGGGATGCCGGGCTCCTCCTGGCTGGGATACTGGGATGCTGGGTTTCTCCCTGACGGGGATATTGCATGCTGGCTGGCTCCTTCCCAGCTGAATAGTGCGATATAGGGATGCTCGGCCCCTCCTTTGCTGGATGCTGGGATGCTGGCCCCCTGCCTGGCTGGGACAGCAGCTGGGGCTGCTGGTGTGGTGGCAATGGCACAGCTGGGTGCTTTGCAGGATGCCCGGCTGTACGAGGACTGGAAATGGTTCCGGTGCCCCACGCTGCTGGAGGTGCTGGAGGAGTTCCCCTCTGTTGCACTGCCGGCCTCCCTGCTGCTCACCCAGCTCCCTCTGCTCCAGCCCCGCTACTACTCCATCAGCTCCGCACCCGGCCTCAGCCCCGGGGAGATCCACCTCACCGTAGCTGTTGTCACCTACCACAGTGAGGGTGAGTGGGGACGGGGATGGGGACGAGTGCTGGGGGCTGCTGCCTTCTGCCATGCTGTAGGCACGGCAATGCCTGCTCCCAGCATCCTTGTGCTGCATAGTCCCCAGGGCATCTCCAGGTTCCCAGGGTACCTCAAGGGCTCCTCAGGCATCTCCAGGTTCCCCAAGGCACGCTCAGGACCCTCAGGCATTCCCAGGTCCCTAGAGCATCTCCAGTGTTCCCCAGGCACCTTCAGGGTTACTAGGGCATCTCCAGGCCATCCCAGGTTCCCACTCAGCCCCATCACACAGTGCTGAGTGCAGCCCTTGGATGGGATACAGTCTCCAGGGACATCCCCCCCGTGCCCCATTCACCATCCCAGGCTCCGTGCCCCCTGTACTCCAGACTGCGTGGGGATGGAAGTGTCCCAAGACCTGCTGGGGAGGGGGGTCTGCCTGCTGGGGGGCTCCCTGCTGGAGGCTGCTGCCTGCCGCAGCCCCTCCAGACCCTTGGGTCCCCACAGACGGACAGGGCCCCCTGCACTACGGTGTCTGCTCCACATGGCTGGCGAGGCTGCAGCCCGGGGACACCGTGCCTGCCTTCATCCGAGGGTAAGGGACATCCCTGCCTGTCCCCCGCCTGCCTGCCTCCCCCCAGCACGTCCCAGTGGTTCCCCCTGCAGGACATCTCCTGACATGCCCTGCACCCCGCTCCACCCGTCCCCCGATCCGCGGTGACCCCTTGTCCGCAGGGCCCCCTCGTTCCGGCTGCCGCCCACCCCCGAGGCCCCCTGCATCCTGGTGGGACCCGGCACAGGCATCGCGCCCTTCCGCAGCTTCTGGCAGCAGCGGCTGCACCATCTGCAGACAGAAGGTCAGGGATGGGGATGGGGATGGGGGGGAGAAGGGGCGCATGGAGCAGGGGGGGAGGCTGAGGGGATGAGACACAAGGACATGGTGGCACCTGGATGCAGGACAAGGCTCAGGGATGGATGGAGGGATGGATGGGAACATGAGGACAAAGTGGCATGAGAATGCATGGCATGGTGATGCAGGCACATGTGGCACATGGCTGGGGACATGGGGAAGGGGATGGAGTCCAGGGACATGGGGACACACGGACGTGATGGCACTGGGATGCAGAACAAGGCAGAGGGATGGAGGGATATGGCATGGGGACTGGGGGCATGGGGATGCGGGGCATGGTCATTGTGGGATGCGGGGCACAGGACTGGGGACATGGGGAAAGTGATGAGGGCGGGGGATATGGGGACACAAGTACAGTGTGGTGCCACAATTACACACAGTATGGGGGCATGGAGACATGGGGATGGGGGAACATGGTGACAGGGCAGCATGGAGACACAGGGAAATGGTTGGGAAGCTGCAGAACATAGCAGAGCAGCGATTCAGGGGATGAGGACAAGGGTATAGGGCCACGGGGACATGTCCCAGCCACTGCCCCCCTGCAGGTGGTCCCCTGGGCAGCATGGTGCTGGTGTTTGGCTGCCGCTCCTCCGCGTTGGACCACATCTACCGGCAGGAGATGCAGGAGGCGCAGGAGCAGGGGGCTCTCAGCCAGGTCCTCACTGCCTTCTCCCGTGAGCCAGGGACCCCCAAGGTAGGACAGGGATGGGGACGGGATGGGGACAAGAATGGAGACTGGGACAAAGATGGAGCTGAGGGCAGGGGTACAGTGGGGACAAGGGGTATGATGAGGACAAGGATGGGGACAGGGATGGAGTGAGGGACACAAGGATGGAGGGATGAAGGATGCCTCCACAGGGATGGAGGCAAGGGTGGACTGGGGACACTGATGAGGACGGGGCAGAAATGAGGATAGGGACAGGGTGTGGATGGGAACACGTGTGGCCACCCCACTGTGGTGTCCCCAGACCTACGTGCAGGACGTGCTGCGGACGCAGCTGGCCGCGGAGGTGCACAGGGTGCTGTGCCAGAGCGCCGGGCACATGTACGTGTGCGGGGACGTGACGATGGCCACCGAGGTGCTGCAGACGGTGCAGCACATCCTGGTGCAGCAAGGCGGCATGACGCTGGGGCAGGCGGGGGACTTCATCAGCGAGCTGCGGGTAAGGGCTGGGGACGTGTGGCACACCGGTGCCGGCACTGCGCCCCGGCACTCCACCCTGACGCCTGCTCCCCCAGGACAAGAACCGCTACCACGAAGACATCTTCGGCCTCACCTTCCGCACACAGGAGGTGGCCTTCCGCATCCGCAGCCAGTCCTTCTCCATGCAGGAGCGCCGGCAGCCAGGCCCGGCCCCCTGAGTGTGCTGGGGCAGAGGGGACCCCTGCCGATGGTCCCCCCATCCCGCTGCAGGCAGTGCTGCTTCCCAGTAAAGGTTTAGTTTTGATAGCTCCGTCCCCGTGCTTCACCTCTCCCAGTGTGTTGGGTGGCGCTGCCAGCACTGAGCATCGCCAGTGGGGTGGACATGGGTGCACCGTGCTCTGCAGCCCCATGGCCATGGATGGGACAGATGTGGGGTAGTGGGAAACAGTAGCTGGGTTTGTAGGTTTTGTCCCTAAGCTGTGACCTGCATGGCTGCAGGTGAGCAACACCACCCTGGTACCCACACGCTATCTGTCCCAGCATCGTGCCCCAAACACCACTGTGCATCCCTCTGTGCAGCCCCACATCTCCTGGTGTGGCCTCACTGCCTCTTGGCACAGTCACCACTGGCACAGGCCCTCTGTAAACCTTTTATTTCCCATGGCAGGTCGATGTGTCCGGTGCCCAGAGCAGGACACTGTGGGGAGCAGCAGCCTGGGCAGGCAGCAGGACCGGGAATGGCACCAACCCCAGCAAGGGGCAACCCAGGCCCCCTGTGACCCCCCATAAACATAGCACCTCAGGGGCTGGCTGCCCCGGCAGCACCCCTGGCCCCAGTGCCATGGCAGGGCCACCAGCAAGGCTCTGTGCCCGGGCAGGCCGGCCCTCGGGCAGCAGAGTGGGCAGCGGTGAGTTCTCTGCTGCCAGCCAGCATCTCCTGGCAGCAATCCCGGCACTGTGCCTGGCAGCACCGAGAGCTCTCAGCACGCCCAGGACCCTGCAAGGAAACAGGCCACCAGCAGTGACCACAGCACCGGGGATGCTGGCACACAGGGGTGGTCATCGGCTCTCCCTGGCCGTGCCGTGCCCTCACCCACCGAAGCTGAGGTCAGCTAGGTCGTCGTCTGCTCTTCCTCTTCCTCCTCCTCTTCCTCCTCTTCCTCAGCCCAGCCACCCAGTGGCATCTCCCGGAGTTGAGCCTGGGAGGCTCTGGCAGCAGAGCCTGGGGCAAACAGGGGTCAGAGCCACTCCTGCTTAGGACCCCAGCCCTCAGGACCCTACAGGTGCCCTGTCTTGGGGCTCAGGCACACATCCCCAGCCCCCTGGGACCCTCAGTGAGGTGCTCACCTGCGGTCATGGAGGGTGGCTTGGGTCCCCCCGTGGTCATCCACACCCCTACAGCCTGGGGCCCAGGGCCCTGCTGCTGCTGCTGGTGAAGCTGGAAGGGTGGGAGAGGTGGTCAGAGGCCAAATCACGGTGGTGAGATACCCCCATCACAGCAGAGCCCCCTGTCATGGTGGTCAGAGCCCCAGCGGAGGCAGTCAAAGCCCCCATACAGGTGGTCAGAGACCCCATCATGGGAAGCTGCCTCCCTATGGGGCCGTGGGATGGGGACAAGGGACTGGAGACTAATGCCAGGACCAGGCAAGAGACATGGGGGTGGTGGGCAGGAGGCAAGGGCAGAGCACCCGGATGGGTGCAGCCACACCCAACAATGCTGACAGGGATGAGGGCAGGGATGTGGGCAGGGATGAAGGCAGGGACGTGGGCAGGCAGGTGCTGGGGGCTGCACCTCATGCAGGTAGATGGCATGGAGGCTCATCTCAGCCGAGGCCACTTCGGTGATCAGCGCCGAGCGGCTCAGGCTTCGCAGCCGCGACTCACTCAGGAATAGGCTGCGGGCAGAGCCAGAGAGCACATGAGGCCCTGCCACGACACCCCATCCCCAACGCCCTCCCTCCATCACCCCCCAGCACCACGCAGGGGGTGCAGAGCCCCCCCAAACCCCCCATCACCAGGACCTCTCCTCAGGGAGCCGGCGGTCACTGTGGCAGCCAGGGCTGTCGGTGGCGGAGCCCCGCGCTGGCGCAGGCAGGGAGGCGGCCAGGGATGCCAGGACGCTGGCGGCGGCGCTGGCAGTGCTGCAGGGCTGGGGGAAGCGCCGGTCCCAGGACACCAGCCCGCTGGCAGAGAAGATGGGCCGGGCCAGGACACTGGCCAGCAAAGCATCCGGCTGTGGAGGAGGCAGGCATCAGGGCAGTGCTCACTAGAGACCCTCTGCGACCCCGTGTGCCTGTCCCACTCACTGCTGCTGCCGAGTCCTCAGAGAGCAGGGATGTGCCCAGCGGCCCCTCGGCCAGGATGCGCTGTGCAGGCGGCGCGGCAGCTGCGTCCTGCTGCACCTTCTCCTTCAGCTGGCTGAGGAACAGCTCGCTCTGCGGCGGCGGCTGCCAGCGCGGGTTGGTGATGGCAAAGTGCATCAGCGACAGCTCCGTCTTCCCGTTCTCCGCTTGCTGGTACACCGAGGCCTCTGTCTGCCCAGCCGACAGCCACTGTGGGGCAGGGGGTGAGTGGGGTCTCTATAGCTGGGACCCCCAGTCCCACAGCGCACCACACCCTGGGAGACCCCAAGGGCAGGACACCCCACCTGGGGATTGCCATGATTGCGGACGTCAAGCTGGGCGAAGGAGCAGATGTCACCAACCCCAACCACCTCCACCGTGAAGTTGCGGAAGAAGTCGACGATGTCCAGGGCGCGGGAGGGCAGGGCGAAGATGAGGATGAGCGGGGTGAGGATGGGGCTCAGCAGCTCCTCCAGGATGAAGACCTGCAGGCAACACGGGTGTTAGGGGGGGTCAAGGGGCGGTCCCACCACCCAGCCATGCCCGGCGCTCACCGCCTTGTACTGGAAGAGCTGTGCCATCTCGCTGCGCGTCTCCGACCGGCTGGCATTGCCCTGCCAGTGGTCAGGCATGTAGTGGATGTGGGCCAGGACGCGCTGCAGGAGCTGCTCCGGACACCACACTGTGTGCTCGTCGGGGATGAAGGACCTGTGGGCAGGGGCAGGTGTCCCACCTCCCGCTCAACCACCCCACAGCCCCCTGTGCCCGCTTCCAGCACACGGCACAGCCCAGCACGCTCACCTGGCCACTGTGACCACGAGCCCTAGCAGGGTGATGGCAGTGAGGATGTGCTGCACCGTGAGCACGTCCTCATCATAGACGGTCAGGACGATGAGCACAGCCAGGATGGAGCCGGCGAAGAAGCCGACGTTCTTGGCCAGCACGGTGAGCAGCGGGCTGGTGAAGGAGTTCATGTACTTGGTGGCCGGCTTGTACCCGCGGCTCAGCCGCGCCTGCAGCTCGTGGTTGAGCTCGTTGAAGTGCCGCAGGTAGTGTCGGCCGTAGAGGGACCAGCGGCGGGCGCCCAGGCTGCCCGGCTCCCGCTTGATGACCTCGGCGTAGCTGAAGAAGGCATAGAGGAGCTGCCAGACCAGCACGCAGGGGCAGAGAAGCAGGTTGGCCAGCCCCACCAGCACCATGGTGCGCGCCAGGCGCTGCGCCAGCTCCCGGCGTGCGCCTGCACGCTTGCACTGCGGCCGCAGGCTCCACTTGTTCTGGAAGAGGGAGCCGGGGCCCCAGAAGAGGAGCAGCTCCAGGTTGTACTTGAGGCCCTGGGTGAGGAAGACGATGGGGCCCAGCAGCGGCAGGTGGAAGCGGACGGGCAGCAGCGACTTGTTGACCATGGCCACCGTGTAGTTCTTGAAGCGCAGGATGCGGTGGTAGATGTCCAGCTCCGTCAGCTCCCGCTTGTGCACGCACATCTGCTGCTGGCGCTGCAGCGAGATCAGCCGTGCCTGCACCTCCTGCCAGCTGTAGTTGCACAGCCCCTCCTGCACCAAGGACACAGCGATTGGCACCAGCACGGCTTGGCGCGGCACAGACCCCACCATCCCCACAGCTCACCGAGGGGATGTTGAGGGCTTTGATGTAGAAGGTGCGGATCTCCCAGTAGCTCAGGAGGCTGCACAGCACCTTCACCAGCCGGTACAGCCAGAACGCAGCTGCCATCACCAGCAGGAAGATAACCCAGCCGCTGGCCCTGATCCTGGCAGGGGACATGTGTCAGGCAGGGATCTGGCGGTGCTGGGAGCCCTGTGTGGCCACACCAGCCCCACTGCTCACCTCTGGGCGCACTGTGGGGCAGGCAGGATGGCGTCGGGCAGCGTCACCTTGCTGCGGTCGGGGGCTGTCCCACCAGTGTGGTTGAGGGGCCGGTTGGCGAAGAGAACATCGTACTCCACACAGCACAGCAGGAAGGTGGAGAAGGTGACCACAAACAGGAACTGCCTGGGGGTGGCGGGGGGTCAGCACAGCCCCTCGCCCCACAGCACAGCACCGTACAGCACCGTACGGCACAGAAGGTGGGGGGGCCTACTGGCACTTACACCAGCTCAAAGACATCAGACAGCATCATGCAGGCAAAGCCATTCTTCTGGTGGAAGTGGTAGATGTTGGGGCTGCATTAAGGAGCATGTGCCTTGGTTGCTGGACCACCCCCCTGCACCCCTTCCCAACACTGGGGTACCCCCCCCACCACCACTGTGGTGCCAGCACGGGAAGGGCTGGGCTGCAGCCAGGCAGGGGCCCTGCAAGGATATCTTGGTGAAGAAATTATCCAGGTTCTTGATGTGGTGCCAGGAGTCTGTCAGGGAGAGAAAAACAGCGGGGCTGAGCCAGCGCCATGGCACCCTGGGGCACCCCAGCCTGGCACACACACTCCCCACGCTGTGAGCAGCCAGAGGGCTGTGGGGCAGGGCCCGGCCCCCACCGCTACCTTGCACCCCCTCGGTGACGTGCACCAGCAGCTCCTCCTCGCCCGGGGGTGAGTCCTCCTCCAGGTCCTCCAGGCGGTGGTACTCCCCCTGCTCCGCCATCGCCCGCCGTGACGCCTGCCGGGAACACCCATCGGCACCCACTGCCGTGGCCCTGGGACCCCCGCCCGGCTGCAGGGAGCCCCGTGGGCCGCGCGGCAGCCAGAGCCCCGCCGTGGGGCGCAGGGCGAGCCGCAGTGAGCTGTCTGCCCCGAGGTCGGCAGCCGGAAATGCTGGCGAGGTCACGCTGAGCCACCCACGTGCCCCGAATTCGGGTGGCCTGAGCTGGCCTCCCGCACCGAGGTCACGGACACAGCCCCGGGCACGGCAACGCCACCTGGCCCGTCTCACCGGCTGGGGCACTGCCAGTGCCAGAACGTGCCCCCCTGGCACCGGCACAGAGCTGCCCAGGGAGGGCCCTGCGCAGCCTCGCAGAGACCCCCCCATTACCCCACAAGCACCCTTAGGTCATGCCCCTGTACCCCCCCCATCCGGGTGGAGTGGACCCCCATCCTCACAGACACCCCTCCCCACAGACCCCCATCACCATGGAGGCCCCTCTCCACAGATCTTCATCCCCATGGACCCCCATCCCCACAGACCCTCTCCCCTCAGAGCCCATCCTGGGGCCGGTGCCATGGCAGCAGCCAGGATGCAGGACCAAGCTTAGGGCCAGCTCCTGAGCCTCAGGGGCCTCTTGATGCCCTAGGACCTTCGGGTCCAGAGAGGAAAGGACCACAAGCCCTCTGGGGAGGAACAAGACCCCTGGGCCTTGGGGTAAGAGGGAGCCCAAACCTCTGGGACAGAAGTCCCAGCTCCCTGGGAAAACACATTCCCACGGAGAAGGATGGGACTCCCATCCCATTAGGGAAGGACAGGACCCCAATTCCCTTGGGGCAGAATGGGACACCAACCCTATCTGAGAAAAGACAGGATCCCTGGACCCTTAGGGCAGGATGGGACTCAGCCCCTTGGGGAGGGTAAGACAAGACCCTCATCCCCTTAGGCAGGACAGGACCCCCACCTCCCCAGGGAAGGACAGTACCCCTGGCACCCTGGGACAGGACAGGACCAGTGGAGTCTCAGGGCATGACAGGACCCTTCTCCCCGTGTGACAGGATGGCACTCGCACCCCCCAGGGAAGGACGGGACCCCTGGACCCTTTGGGGAGGATGGGACCCCCCCGCCCACCCCCGGAGCCCTCCCCTTACCGCGGCCGGCCGGTGCTCCCGCAGCCGTCACCCGTGTCCCCTCCCGTGCCCGGTGCCAGAGCCCGGCCAGGTGATGCCGTCCGGCCCCTCCCCACCGCGGGCGCTGCCGGGGCCTGACTCACGGCACCGGGGCCAGTACGGCGGGGCCGCGGGCACGGAGGAGTCCCGGAGCCCCGGGGCGGTGATTCAGCAGGAGGAACGCGGCCGCGGCCGGGACAGACCTCGGTGCCACCGGACACGCCGTCCCCCCTCCCTGACCCCCGGCCTTGGACAGAGCCACCGTGTCCCCCGGGATCGGGTGTCCCTGCCGGTGACGCCGACACGGCCCTGGCCCCACGTGCCCCGCACCGGGCGGCCAAAAATACCCGTGCGGCCGGGCTGACCGAAAATAGCCCGGGCGGCGTAAACAGCCGGGGACCGAGGGTCATGGGGGGACCCGCGGGCAGGGGCAGCGCAGCCCGGGGGACACAGACACCCGCGGGGACAGACAGGCCCTGGCAAGGGTCCTGGCGACCGGTGCGAGGACACACGTGCCTCATGTTCCCGTACCTGTGCCACACAGGGACCCCACGACCCCGCGGGGACACGGACACCCTCATGGGGCACAGGCAGTATGACAGCCCCGCGGTGACACACACCCCGCACGGACACGACCTGCCACCCAGCGGTGTCATGAACACCGTGTCACCTCACGGGCCCACACGGGGGGACACGGGCACCCCGATGACCCTGTGGGGACAGCCCCAAGTGGGGCACCGGCAGCCGGTGGCCCCCGCCGGATCACGCACGGCCATAGGGGAGTCCCGGGGGCAGCGGGAAGGAGCAGGGTGACCCGCACCAGGGGATTCGGGGCACGACCACCTTTCGGGGACACGCTGTGGCCGGCTCTCCCGTGTCCCCGGCCCTCGAGACCCCTGGTCCCGGCGTTTTACGCCCTGGCCACCATTGCCCCCCCCGTACCCCTGTCCCAGCTCACCTAGCCGTTCGGTGCTGGCACAGTCCCGGTGATGCTGCTGTCGGGCTCTCACCTAGCCCCTCGCCCGCCCCGGGACTGGGACCAAGACCGCGTCCCGCCGCCCCGCATGGCAGCACCGGCACCGGGGGGGGGGGCGAAAGGGACACTCGACGGGGTCCCCCGCCGCCGGGAGCGGGGTCGGGGTGAGGGGTTCCGGGTCCCGGTGCAGGGCCCGGACTCCAGGAGCGGGGCCCGGGGAGGAGCGAGGGCCCCGGCGGTCCCGCGGTGCCGGAGGAGGCTTCGGGGAGAACGGGATTGCGGGCACTGGGGGGAAAGGGGGTCAGAGTGCGCGCTCCGCGGGCCCGAGGGGTCGGTGCGAGTCGGGGCCGGCGCAGGGCCCGGGCCGCGGTGCTGAGGCTCCGCCTGCCGCTGTCGGTACCGCCCGCCCCGGGTCCGCCCCTGCCCGCCCCGGGTCCGCCCCTGCCCGCCATGCTGGTGCCGCTGCTGCTGCGGGCGGTCGGCGCTCGGCCCAGGCTCCGCTCGGTCCTCCCAGCGCTGCGGCCCCGCCCCGGCCCGGGGGGCAGGTACCGGGGAGCCCCGGGCAGGGGGCGATCGGGGGCCGGGACCGCTCGAGGAGGGGCGGGGGCAGTACGGACCCCTGGGTCCCTTTTGGGGGGGCCATGGACACCCCGGACTTCCCTCCCCCCGCACCCTGAAGGGAAGTCCGGGGTGTCCATCTCCCCCCCCCCCCCCCAAAAGGGACGCTGGGGTTGTGGGGTATCGGGGGTGCGGGGAGATCAGGGCTCCCGGGGGCTGCAGGGTTGGGGTCGGGACGGGGCAGGAGGATCCCAAACGCTGGCGTGGGGGTACTAGGGGGAGAGTTGGATGCGTCTGAGTGCTGGTGGTTGTCTGGGGGGAGCCCGGGAGTGGGAATACCGGGAGGGAATGAGGGTGTCCCCTGCCATGGGACAGCCCAGGATGGCATGGGGGGGTCTGTCTGTGCCATGGGAGGACACAGCCCTTGTCCAGGCCCCCCCATGCCCCCTGATTCAGGCACCCTGTGCTCACCCCTCTCCCCAGTTTCAGGTATGGAGGGGGCCGCCCGGGGCTGGTCAGCCCCCCTCGCCTGCCCTCCAGCACCGTGCCGCCAGCCCCACGCTGCCTGCTCCTGGCCGGCCCTGCTGCAGGCTGTGTGGTGCTTGGCTTGCTGGGCACGGCCGCACGCTGCCAGGAGGCCACTGTCCCCGCCGTCCCTGCAGTCCCTGAGCCCGCACAGCCCCGGCCGGAGCCCGCGTTCGACTGGCCAGTGTTCTGGACCTTCCTGCGCCCCCAGCTCCTGGCCCTCTCTGCAGCAGTGGTGGTAAGCAGGGCCAGGTGGGCGGCTGTGGTTTCTCTTGTCCCCACTGTCCCTGTGCCATGGCATGGTGCCTGTGACAGCATGACACAGTGTGCAGAAGACGGACGCTTCGTAAGGGACTGTAGTGATAGGACAAGGGGTAACGGGTTCAAACTTAAACAGGGGAAGTTCAGTTTAGATGCAAGGAAGGAGTTCTGTACTGTATGGGTGGTTTGGCACTGGAATGGGTTGCCCAAAGAAGTTTTGAATGCTCCATCTCTGGCAGTGTTCAAGGCCAGGGTGAACGGAGCCATGGGCAACACGGCCTAGAGTGAGGTGGCTTGGAACTGGATGATCTACGGTCCTTTCCAACCCAAACCATTCTGTGATGCTATGATGCCTGCCATCCCTGTGTGACACCTGCCATTGGCATGCCATGCCATGACACCCACTGTCTCCACAGCTGGCTCTGGGCGCAGCCCTGCTCAACGTCCGCATCCCGGTGCTGCTAGGGCAGCTGGTGAACGTGGTGGCCCGCTGCGCCCGCGGCCACCTCTCTGGGTACCTGCAGGAGGTCCGGCGCCCAGCCCTGCGCTTGCTCGCTGTCTACTGCCTGCAGGTGGGTGCTAGCACCCTGAGCTGGGCAGGGGACCATGGAGACATCCCCTCTCTCTCCATGCTCCTCCAAGCCCCTCTCCTGCTCAGGGGCTGCTGACCTTCGGGTACATCGCGCTGCTGGCACGGGTCGGGGAGCAGGTGGCTGGCAGCATGCGCAAGGCGCTCTTCACGTCCCTGCTCCAGTAAGACACCCCACAGGGCAACGGGCTGGGGTGCACAGGGGGGCATCAGTCCATCACCCCAGCCCACTGCCCCCGTCCGTCAGGCAGGACGTAGCGTTCTTTGACGCCAACCGGACAGGGCAGCTGGTGAACCGGCTGACGGCCGACATCCAGGAGTTCAAGTCCTCCTTCAAGCTGTCCATCTCACAGGTGACGCCAGCATCCGGTGGCACCAACCCGCAACAACCTTTTCCCCCCAAGCCCCCCTGGCCCCGGCACCCACCCGTGCCCGCTCCCATCCCCAGGGCCTGCGCAGCAGCACACAGACAGCGGGCTGCTTCGTCTCGCTCTACCTGCTCTCACCCAAGCTCACCGGCCTCCTGCTGGTGACACTGCCCGTCCTGGTGGGTGCCGGGGCCCTCATCGGTGCCTTCCTCCGCAGCCTCTCCCGCCGGGCCCAGGAGCAGGTAACCCTGCACTCACCCACCCCACCAGGGCTGGAGCAGGGGGTGTCCTCCCCTGCTCACCCTCTTCATCCCTCTCCCTGCAGGTGGCTAAGGCAACCGGGGTGGCAGACGAGGCACTGGGAAATGTGCGGACCGTGCGCGCCTTTGCCATGGAGGACCGGCAGGCAGGGTAAGGGGGTGGCCGGGGCTCCTGCCTTGTGAGGGCAGTGTGGGTGCAGGGGGGCTCAGCCTCATCCCTGTCCCCAGGCTGTACTGCGCTGAGGTGGACCGTGCTGGCTGGCTGAACGAGCGGCTGGGGCTGGGCATTGCTGCCTTCCAAGGACTCTCCAACCTGGCACTCAACGGTGAGTGTGGGGTGCGACGTGGTGGTGCCGTGGGGCAGGAACCCCTTCAGGTCCCATCTTTGCCCTGCATCCTACAGGCATCGTCCTGGGAACCATCTTCGTGGGTGGCTCCTTGATGGCTGGGGATGAGCTCTCACCGGGCGACCTCATGTCCTTCCTGGTGGCCTCGCAGACGGTGCAAAGGTCAGGGAAGGGTCGGGCATGCCAGCACCCCTGGCACCCGGCATACCCATGACTCAGCCCTGAGCTCGGCCTCTCCTCTTGTGCACACAGGTCCATGGCCAACATCTCCATCCTGCTGGGGCAGGTAGGTGGCGGGGGGGGTCCCGCTGCTCCCCGGGGATGTGGAGCCAGGGCTGGGAGTGCTCCCA